GATATAGATATAGATATAGATATATATAGATACATATAGATATATATTATAAATTTACTATGATAAATAGTGAATTTATTTACCAAATAAATAGTACAATTTCTTAGTTCAAATATCTGATACATTTACAATGCTCCATTGTGAATTAATATGGGTTTATAAGATTTTTAAATCTTTGCATTCTGTTTATATTTACATTTTACAAAATATCTCATGTGTCTCTTTTTTAGAATTTGTGTTGTAGACAGATCTTGGTTTGTTTCCCTCCAACATCCCTCCAAATTTTTTCTGCAACCCAGGTGATGTTCAGAGGTCAGAAACTGCTTCTGATGACATCCCATTTCGAGAGCTGTAAGAGCGGCTCAGCAGAGAGGATGAGGCAGCTAAGGCTGGTGATGAAGAGGATGAGTGAGGCTCCTGATGATGAGACGGTCCTGTTTGGAGGGGACACAAACCTGAGAGACTATGAGGTTTGATTTTTCATTCAGAAGGCAGATTTTTTTTTCTTAAACTGTTTTCATAAATGATGCATTTTGGGAAATGTAGGCAAGGAGCAGAGCATCATCAGACTCCGATGTTAAAGTACTTTTAGGGAGTTTAAAAATAATTGATATTTGATTGTTTTCCTGTCATCTCTTCCATAAACGAACGAGTAAATCCCAAGTTCTTCTTGTACCATAGGTGGCCACGGTTGGCCTTCCCAGCTCTGTCTGTGACTTGTGGGAGCAGCTTGGAGAACCTGAGAAGTGCCGCTACACATGGGACACCCAGGCAAACACCAACAAGGACATCCCCTTCAAGTGCCACTTCCGCTTTGATCGGGTGTACCTGCGCCGAGCCTCCAGGGATGGGGTCCCACGGCTGGACCCCCACAGCATGGCTTTGATTGGGTTGGAGATTCTCAAGTGTGGCTTATTCACCAGCGATCACTGGGGAATATACAGCAAATTTTCTGTTGAGTAGAAATGTAAATTTTTCCCTGCTTTTTATGTTCGTTTTTTCTTACTTTGTGTGTTCAACAATTCCAGTTTATTCAACAGGAAATTGCTACTGCAACCTTTTAATCACTATTTTGACCTGGATTAGAGTTTTTACCTCAGTCAGAGCCAGTACTGTCATGCAGCATCATAGGATGATTTTCTTTATTTGTAACTCTAACCTTTGATTAAATCTTTCTTTACCAAAAATTTCCAAAGCTTTTAGCTTTTTTAAACACCAAATGCTATTAAAATACTTTAATTTGTATTATTTTTCATCAATAAATGTATACTAAGCCCTTGAAGGGACGTTAGATTAAGAAAAAACGGTTTTGTGAGCACAAGATCACTCACAGGATCTTTCTGATTCTGTCAGACTAGTTGTGTTTACTGAAGTGGAAATTTGTGACACCGTTAAGCTGTATTTCCGCCTTGGGCTGCCAAACAAAGACATCGCTCTGACATCACTGCACCCGCTTCGAATGTTGTCAGTGCATTATCAGCACCACAGACTGATTAAGTTTGAAACATTTCAGAGCACAAGTGGAGTTAAAATAATGAGGAAGACCAAAAGAACTGCAGTTCCCAGCAGACCCCAACTGAATGGTTTAAATGTGAAAAGAAGGATTTAAAAGCAGGATGTCTACCGCTTACTTGTAGGCTAAAGTACAAATACTTTACTTACTTACTTACTTACTTACTTACTTACTTGCTTACTTGCTTGCTTACTGTATTTAAGTAGAAATTTTGGTCGGTTGTCTGTACTTTACTTGAGTAATTATTTTTCAGCGTACTTTTTACTTTTACTCATTACATTTTTACACAATTATCTGTACTTTCTACTCACTACAGTTTTAAAAGGGTAAGAAGTAGAAAGTCATTTCTCACATAGAGGATGTATTGGGGACGTACTGGTGAGTTGATCTGATCTAACATTTGTGGTTTTGTGTATTTTTGTTTTTTATGTATTATTCATTCTTACTGTCCTGTTGATGAGTTTTATTGCAATTGTTATTGTTATGTTGTAGTGCTTGCCCCTGCTTTCAGGACAAATTTCTCCCATGGGAGACTAATAAATTATCTTATCTTTTTGTTCTGGGTTATTATTTTAAAAAAATATGTCATCATAAATTGTGTCTCCTGGAAAGAGTTAATTGAATTGTGGTTGGATGAGAAGTATAAATATAGTATATACCATTCTGACATGTATTACTTTGCACACATCACAGCTGCACGCCATTAAAAATTTATTGTTCGAGAAGTCTCCTAATAAATGTCATTTAGGAAAACCTTTGCCCACTTATACTTTAACTTTTAATACTTAAGTAGATTTTGTAACAGAAATATACTTTTGATTCTTAAATAAAAAAAAATCAGATACTTTAAGACTTTTACTAAAGTAATATTCTTATAGAAGACTTTAACTTTTACCGAAGTATTTTTATAATAAGATACTTGTACTCAAGTCACTTTGAGGTACTTTATACAACACTGCTTTATTGACAAAAAAAAAAGTCAGAAACTTGTTTTAGACAAATATGTCAGACATGTAGTAACAACATCTGTTATAAAATCAAAACAATAAAAGCATCATGTCAAATAAAAATACAGTAAAGTACTAAAACATATATTAGATTTTTTCAGTAATACCTAAAAAGATATTTTTAAAGCAGTAAACCATTACGATCAAGGTGGACAAACAGTATCCAAACAGACTGGAACAACAAAGATGTAATGGAATAAAAGCTTAAAATCACAGTTAAAATAAAAACAGATTTGTGTGAGATTACAAAAGTACATTAATAAACTAAGCTGTTTTTCAGTCTGATGTTCTTGTCCAGATGAGTTCAACCTCCTTCCTGAGGAGAGGACTTTTAATTATAAAACGTTTCAACTAAGAAGTTGTATTATTTCTCGAAGAAAAAAAAAGTAATTTCATTTTTTATGGCAGCAATACCTTTTTAAAAGGTCGCCGGTTCAAATCCCGGCCTGGGGACCTTTCTGGGTAGAGCTTTGTTCTCTCCGTGCATGGGTGGGTTATCTTCGGGTTCTCTGGCTTCTTCTTAACCCTGAAAAGGAATAAGCGTGTACAAAAAATGGATGGATTAAAAGGCCAGTGGTTTAATAAGAAACTTTTGGAAAAGCATTTTAAAACTAATTAGATAAATTGACTGCAGGTCAGTAAAAGCACTAAGTAAAAAAAGTGGTTCTGGTTTATTACTTGACTAAAATCGTGTTCATATCTACCTACTATGGAAGCCCATTTCCACCACCCTGATAAAAAAAATAAATAAAACTTGTATCTCATAATTATGACTTAGCTATCTCATAATTATGAGATACTATCTCATAATTATGACTTAGCTATCTCATAATTATGAGATACTATCTCATAATTATGAGATAGCTAAGTCAGTATCTCATAATTATGAGATAGCTAAGTCATAATTATGAGATACAAGTTTTATTTTTTTATCAGGGTGGCGGAAATGGGCTTCCATAACCTACCAAGTAATCGGAGAGCCCTTTAATTTACCATCATAATACCAATAAAACTTGTTTAATTCTAAATATATGATTGTTCAATAAGCTGTGAATCTAATTGAGGGCGTGCTCCTGATTTCGCGCATGCGCAGGTACTGGCCCTTTAAATGTCACATGACCGGTTCTGTAGCCTAGGAGAAGTTTTGTTTACTGCCGGGCTGCTAAACGCTAGGGGTCCACAAGCAAAGCGGATTAAAGTCTCGCAGGAATGGCAGAGGAAGCTGAAGACGAAATACCGGGTAAAAACCGTCGTTTTATCCGTGTTATATTACCGAGTCTTCACGGTGGAGTGTTTTTATTTCTGACTGTTCACATGATGGTGTGGCTAAATTAGTGCTACTGTGCGATTAGCTTCTGCGTTAGCTTGCTTGCTAACGGAAGAAATAATAAGTTTCATACTATCACCATACCTATTCATGATCTGACTGTTCCGGTCCTGTAATCTCCTTAATAACTCTAGCTCCAGTTTCCGTGTATTCTGTGATTGTATCACACAGTATCCTAATAAAAATTACTTCCAAAAAGTTATGAAAACACTTTATCATCATGTCCGTCATTTACTTAAAATGAGTTAGTTCGCTGTCAGACGTTGACTTTATTATAATACATCCATGTGACAGCTGGATGATAACAGGGGGTGTTGCAGAAAACAGGCTTTAGTAAAAACTTTCACCCAGAGTTTAGGAAAACTGCAGGTTTTTGTTTCAGAAACAGAAACATGTCAAGCTCTGAGTCTGTCATCATGGTGACTCTTCTCAACTCTAAATACAACAGTTAAACATGTAGTATCTTTCACCCACCTTAAAGGGAAAGTTTGGCTATTTGGACTCATTGTTCTGTCTTTTAGTTATCAGTAATTTGCACATTTTTATTCACAAAAACAGAGCATAGAGGAAGAAGTTATTCAGGACCAATGACTAGCTGGACTGGTGTTTTTTTTTTTTTTTTTGTTGATCCAGTGGTTCTTGTAGCGTGACACTGTAGTAGGGGGTCCACGAATCCTTACTGGTGGAAAAGCCCTGGAACCGAGCAGAGCCAAGTCGAACCGTGCTGTAGAGGCACTGTAGACCAGGGGTTCTTAACCTTTTTGACCTCGGGGCCCAATTTATTGATCATAAAGTGACACGAGGCCCAGTCAGACATTATCAACCTATGGATCAAAATGATAATTATTCTAAATCTTGGTTTAATTTTATTGTATTTACATTATAACTAAATTAAATACACTTACAGTTTAAAAG